GGGTCGCGACCAGAGTCGCGGAACGAATTAAGTTCGTGAACTGAGGTACCACTGTATATATAGGGAATCAAGAGACAGATCACATGATACAAGTTTTTTGTGTATTGCTCAAGTCCAGGAAGAGTGGAATTTAACAGTGAGGAGATATGAGATTTCTCATCCAATTGAGAAATAATGCATTTAAGTCAATAACTGAAGATTTAAAACCAAGCTCTGACCTCAAGCTTCATCTGGCCAGTTTCTAGCTTTAGGATTGCATTAAATATGCATTTGGGGGCTTGGAACACTGTTCTGATAAACTTGGTTTGTTCTGCTTCCTAGCTGGAAGCAACGGAGCAACTAAGCCAGGGATTTGGTTGTAAATAATTTTAAAGCTGCAGGGAGACATTCTCCACCTTTTGTACAGAAAAATATTAAAACAGCTGAAATGCTTCTTTGACTGCAAGACCGCAGGGTTGATAAGTGTATTCCATGACCTTGAGTCTGGGAAGGCAACACTTAAATACAGGTGGTCATCAGTTTATGACCACTCATTCAGTGACCATGTGAACTTATGAAGGCACTGAACAAGTGGTACTTATGACTAGTCCTCAAAGTTCCAGCCATCGTGGTGCCTCCGCGGTCCAGTGATCACAATCTAGGCGCTCAGCAACTGGCTGGCATTTCCCACCGTCAGTGTCCCACGGTCATGGGATCACACTTTGCAACCTTCCCTGCCAGCTTCCCACAAGCAAAGTCAATGGGGAAGCTGGCAGGAAGTTTTACATCGCAGTTACGTGAGGTCCTTGCTTAACGACCCACAGTAATTCGCTTAACAACAGTAACCAGGAACTGCTGGAACTGCAATTGCTAAGTTCACGTGATGTCATGCTTTAGAACTGCATCACTTAGCAACTGAAATTTTGGTCCCAGTTATTGTTGTTAAGCAAGGACTACCTTAAACCCCTCATTTGCTCAGGCTCCTGCCCTTCTATTATCCAAAACATTTCTGAATGTTTTAGTGAAGACCATTATTTTTGTATTCTGCAAGTTTAGTGCAAGGTGATATTCACTGTAGTGATACACTAGGCTATTGAATGCCAATCTGAGGCCAATTGGGGTTGCACCATGAGTAAGTATATGCTATAAACCCAGCCAGTATCTACAGTCACATAACATGCTTGGTCAAGTCTGGAGCAAACTATAGCATCCAGTGTCAGATGATGCAGGAGAATATGGTGTCCCAATTTGCTAGGAAGCAGCCATCATTGACATATCCCAGCCTCTTTTCTAGCATGATTGATTTATGTTTAAAGACTCATTAGTATTATTTTATACTTTATGAGAGAATTAGTGAAGAATACCAAGATGACTGGATATTCTGAATGTGAGGCAGGCCATTTTCTTCTGTAATGCCAGTACTGGATTTTGGGACAAATATATAAGTATAGGAAGGAAATAAAATAAACTATGTTGAAAGTGAACAAGCACAGAAAAAGAATTGTCAAATTATTCATGAAAAAATATTAAAAGATAAATTTATTCCAACAGAATAAATTAAAAGTAGATGTAAAGAAAGAAGATGCAGAGGCTGCTTAGAACAATAAAAACAATTACAATAAAGAAAGCTGTAGAAGCATCTGGAGTTACATAATGAGAAATATGAAAAAGAATTGGCTGGAGCAGCTTCATTTTTGCGTGCGCACTTGAGGCTCTAATTTTTGCGCTGGAAACCTAGCTCCCAATTGTACAAGATTCAGAAGGTCCTATTAATTCAAGCCCCCTCCCCCCAGTCCTGCTGTGCTGTCTCATGGGGGGGGGGGCGGGTGTTCTTGGGAGGATGAGCAAAGAATGTCAGGAGTGTATGCCAAGAACATATATTCCCAGCAGGTTTACCCAAGGTGTGAAGGTCATCCCAGTTGCCCAGCTAAAGCAAGCAGGCACTTATATTGGGTAGCAGCAATATAGGAAGATGCCAGAGGCAGATGATCATTTTAGTGACAATGGCATCAATTCATATTGCATGGGAGAAGGCAGTGGTAAACCACTCCTGTATTTTTACCAAGAAAACTAAATGGATATAAAATATAAAACAGAGTGCAAACTATCATACAATAACCTTAATTTCACATGCAAGCAAAATGATGCTTAGGATCATCCAACACAGATTAGAGCCCAACATGGAAAAAGAGATGCCAGATGTTCAAACTGGCTTTAGAAAAGGCCAAGGAACACGAGACATTATTGTTGATGCACACTGCATAATTGAGAAATCCAAATAATACCAAAAAGAAGTCAGTATGTGCTTCATCGATTATAGAAAGGCCTTTAATTGTGCTGATAACGTCAAGCTGTGGAAAGTGCTCAGAAAAAGGGGAATCCCAGAATATCTCATTGTCCTCATGAGAAAGTTACATACAGGTCAGGAATCCAGAGTTTGGTACTCTGACATAGCAAAACAGACTGGCTCCAGGTTGGGCAGAGGAGTATGACAAGGCTGCATACTCTCCCCTTATTTATTCAACCTATATGTGGAATATACTGTATACTGAGGGAAGCTGAATTGGAAGATGAGCATGGTTTTAAAATTGGAGAAAAAAAACATTAATAATCTGCACTGTGCTGATGACACTATCCTGATATCAGAAAATGCAAAGAGTCTGCAAGCCCTAGTGCTAGAAGTCAAAGAGCACAGTGAAAAAATGTGACTAAAATTAAAATAGAAAGACCAAACTAATGACCATACATAGAATAACCAGCCTTAGAATTTATAGTGAAGATATTGAAGTGGAGGATAGCTTCTGCCTTTTCGGATTAACCATCAACATTAAAGGAACAAGCAGTCAAGACTAGCACTTGGTAGATCAGCCATGGAGGTCTTGGAAAAGATATTTGTAATGTTTCAGATTGTTCATCAACCCCCAAACATTTATCATATGAAAATAATGTAATAAATACTACTTTAACTATAGTACTACAAATAATAACAACAACAACGTCAACTCAAGGCTGCTCTCACTGGCAGCTGACCATCCAACCCCTTGGTAACACTGTCTTGCCACTAGCCACCTCGCCTTCAAGACTAAGGAATGGCATGGAGTTCTACAGAGACCACAAAAGATTAATTGGCCCCAATCAACTTTCCATCATTTATCAACCACCTATTGACCCCCAGACATTTATCATCCTCTTGGATAGTCTCATCAACCCTTGGGGTTGATATTGACCACTTTGGGGAACTCTGATCTATAACTACAAAGATCAGTATTGTGCAAGCCATTGTATTCCCTGTGACACTCTATGGAAGCAAAAGTTGGGCTTTAAAGAAGCAGGAGAGAAAGAGTATTGACATTTTTTAACTGTGGTGTTGGAGAAGACTCCTGAGAACACCATGGACAGTACCATGGATCATCAAGTAAAACAAAGCAGAGTTCTCACTGGAGGCACAAATGACCAGGCTCAAATTATCCTACTTTGAACACCTTATGTGAAGACCCAGCTCTTTGGAAAAGGCTCCAGTGCTGGGAAAAGTGGAAGGAGAGGACAAACAGCAGCAAAGTGGATCAACTCACTTACAGAGGTGATGAGCGCACCCCGTTGGGAGACCTGAAAGAACAGGTTAGGGATAGATCGTCATGGAGAAAATCTATCTATGTGGTTGCTAGGAGTCAAAAATGACTTGATGGCACATAATCATCACCAACCGTTAACTCAAGGTGGGGAGGGGTCACCCTTTCACCAAGCCTGGAAATGGCTGAAATGGTAGGTAAGTATCCTGATTAAGTATATTGTGCAAATCCAGCCACTTAAAAACCAGCATTTGAGAGACAAATCCACGGGCATTTTTGTTCCACCTGTGAAGGGTCTGTCTAATATAGAGCAGCAGCAAATTATGAACTCACACTCAGGTTTATCACCTTAGAAAGAGCTACACTCCACACCAGCCTTCCCCAACATTGTACACTTAGATGTGTTGGACCAGAAAGCCCATCATCTCCAGCCAATCTAAAGTTGGGTCGTGTTTTCACCAAAGAGAGAGCAACAAACCAGCCAACTATTTTTGAGCCTGGCGTGTTATCCAAACTCAGTCCTAGCGCTTAGAGTTCACTGTGTCCTGGGAACCCAGATAATCGGGTTGAGTAACTATTCTTACGTTCACGCTGGGCAAGCGTGTCACGTGGAAGACCCCAGGTTGGGTAAGGGTCTCCCGCAGTTACCCCTCAAAAGATTCCCACGCGTCGCCCAATAGAAAACCGTAATTAACACCTCAGGGCCTTGTCTTACCCTTCGGTGATGGCGCGCCTTCAACAACAACCGGGAAGACATCTCTCACTAACGTTTGAGAGAAAAAAAACCCAGCAAGATTTAAAACTGTGGCGGCGATTAAAACTACCTCCCGACAGCCAGTTCGGCGGCGGGAGTCTTTCCGCGCATGCTTCGGAACACGGGTAGCGGTTTACAGCGCGAGATCGGTTTTCTGATTTGCCGTTGCCATATTTGATTCGGGCGTGGAACCGAGGAAGTGCCTCGTGCCCGAACTAACATTTGCCGCTGACGCGGCTGCGGAGGGTCATTTCGTATGATCAAGGAGCTACACCCAGTGGGAGTATCGCTGCGGCTGAGACGGGCGTACTAAAGCGAGGTTTTGAGGCTGAAGTTGAGTTATCTTTCTTGTCTTATACTGGGCGGTGTTTTCGATTTACTGGCCACGACCATGCGTCGGCTGCATGTCCTTTACCGTCCCCTAAAGTTATTATTTCCCGGAGGAAGAACGAAGCCGTGGAGCAGGTTCATTCCTTGCAGATTGGCGTCGTTCAAAGCGGACGCGACCCTCCAAGGTCTGTAACATGTAGGAGGAGGAGTAAGGGGGAAGAGCAGGCGGAAGGTTGGATGTGTGGATAACGTTTTCCTGGCTAATGACAAGTCGCTTGTTAATTTCAGGCTGATCTGAACGAAGCCTAGGGGTTCCTAAATAGAAAATAATGGCTGCTCTTCCTAGAGTTATGATACTGATTTGGATCGGTTTTCAATCACAAATCGATCCTAGGTGGCAACACCTAGCTGGCGTTGGCCGATATTGGAAAATCTAAGCAGGGTCAGTCCTGGGGACTAATTTTCAGGCTTTTCGGCTAGATTGGGAAGTTATCAGTACATCTCAGGAGAAGGCAGAGGCCAACCACTTCTCTACTGTTGCTGTGAAAACTACATCAATATGTTTATGAAGTTTGTTATTGTTCAGTAACTTCGGATTCTTTGTGACTTGATGGACATCATTTCACCAGCATTTTTTTGGCAGTAACTGTTCACTGAAATTTTGTAAGCTCATGCATGTGCGATCAGCAATAGTATCTAGCCCTCTCGTCTCCTTTTGCTCTCTTTTTCAATTGGCTTCCATTTTTCCAAGCATCCAGTTACTCTTGCTTGTGTGTTATGCATCCACAATATCTAAGCTTTAGTTTCATTATTGGAACTTCCAGTGAGGAGTCTGGTTGTACTGATTGTTTTTGTCTTCTTGCAGACATAATACTCTCAACCATTTTCTCTAGCACAATAATTCAAAAGCATCATTTTTATTTCATTCAGCCATTCCGATAATCCAGGTTTCACAGCTCTGTGTTACAACTGGGGAAAAAAGCATGGCCTTGATGTTTTCCTTCATTTCACTGAAGAAAGACTCTCTTTATTTCATAACTACAGTCACCATCCCTGTGAATTTCTGAGCATAGGAAGATAAATTTTGTTACTACTTCAGTTCTTTCTCCACCTATTTGCACTGGCTTAAGCTTGCTTGTTAACATAGTATTAGTCGGTTGTTTTAATGCTGAGCAGTAGGCTGGCTTCTTTCACCTCAGCAAGAGGTACCTTAAATTTTTCTCATTTCCAGCCATCAAGGTGGCATCATCTGAGGATGTTGATGTTTCTCCCAGCACTTTTAATTCCAATTTCCATTTTTCCTAGTCCTCATTTTTCATGATATTTTCTGCATATTAGTTAACCAAGGTGAGGGTTTACAAGCCTTGTGCATATTTTCCTCAATTTTGAAACATACAGTTGCTCCATATTCTATTCTAATTGTCATTATACAAATTCCTCTGTAGGCAGATGAAGTGGCCCAATACATCCATGTTTTAAGGGCTATCTGCAAAATGTTTTAAGCTATCCAGTCAAAGCCTTAGTATAATCAGCAATGCAAACATGTACTACTATGTGGAACTCCTTTGATTTTTCCATTATCCATTGGATGTTAGCAATGTAATCTTGGACTCCAGCTTGTACTTCCATGAAGTTACCAATTCAGCTCAAGGATGCCTAACTATATTTATTCTTCTTTGATTGGATTTCTGCATTAATTTAAACAGTGTTTCTAATATTCCTATTGCTGTTTCTTATATTGGTTGTTCTCATCCTGAGAAAAACTCAGAATGATTTACTGCTTCTCAAGATATGCAGCAATACAACTGTCTATGTAGCTGGCCATGTCATATAACTGAAGGATCTGTTAGTTGTTATGGTGCTATAGAATCCATTGTCATTTTTATGGATTGACAAAGGCATCAAGTTGTAAAACAGGTTAGTGAAAATAAATTCCAAAAACTTTAAAGTTATAAAAAATCATATTACAGGTTGTCCTCTTTTAATGTTCACTTGTTCAGCAACCATTCAAAGTTATGACAGTGCTGAGCGAGGGGGACTTAGGACAGGTCCTTGTAGTTGCAGCTATTGCAGTGTCCCTGTGGTCATGTGATCACAATTTGGCCACTTGGCAACCAGCTTGCAATTATGACGCAGCATCCTATGGTCACATGATCACCATTTGTGACCTTCACTGCTGGCTTCCAACAAGCAAAGTCAGTGGGGAAGCCAGCAGGAGGTTGCAAATGGCGATCATGTGACTGCGGGACACTGCAACCCCACAGAATTCACCTAATGATGACAACTGGACCTGCAGAATTGCTGTCGTAAGTCAGCATGGTCACATGACATTACGCCTTATGACCGCATCGCTTATTGATGGAATTCTTGGTCCCAATTACCATAGGTAAGCAAGGACTAACTGTAGTCTAAATGGAGAGAGAGTGCAGATCAAATATATCATTTCCTGTAGGGGTAGCTTTTTAATATCAGATTATGATATAAATCTGTTAGTTCAATAAAGTTTTAATGTCATGCTTATTTATAATTGATATCCATATTATTTGTCCTAATACATTTGGTTGGACTGATGAAAATTTTGTTTGAACTTTTACACATATTACAAATTAACACCTTTTTATTCCAAGATGTCAATAGCTTTGTTGCCCGAACCAAAACTTGCGGGGAGCTGCGATTGGCTCATATAGGTCAAGAGGTCACCCTATGTGGATGGATTCAATATAAGAGGTAAATAGAAAATAAAATAATTTGGAATGACTAAATTGCTGGTGCTAAAGAAAAGTTTAAACTAATTGATCTGCGTGAGTAGTGTTGCTTTACTATATCAGGCTCTGGGATACACATATATAGTCTAGTATCCTGCTTCTGTTTCCCACAGAAGGCATACAAGTAGTCCTCAACCTACGACCATTTGGTCAGTTACTGTCCCAAGTTATGACAGTGCTGAATGAATGGTGGTTATGACCGGCCTTTGGAGTTCCGGCCATCTGAGCACCCCTGTGGTCATGTGATCGCAATCTGAGTGCTTGGCAACCTGTTTGCACTTATGACAGGTTGCCAAGCACCCCGCAATCACATGATCACCATCTGCAACCTTTCCTGCCGGCTTCCCCAGAAAGTCAATGGGGAAGCCAGCAGGGAAGGTTGCAGGTTGCTGGGATAAGTCTTCCCCACCCAGGCACCCTCCCCCAGCCCCTCTGTGCTCATGCCACACTGACCACTCATGCACCCGACTCACACTGCACCTCTTATGCATTCTCCCTGACCTGAGTGGCGCCTCTCATGCACCCTCCCTGACCCGCAACATGCTTTTTGCCATGCCTTTATGACCGCATTGCTTAGTGACAGAAATTCCAGTCCTGATTGCCATTGTAAGTCGAGGAGTACCTGTAATTAGATGCCTCTGAGAAACTCACAACCAGGATGGAAAGCAGCAGTTCTCCTTGCTTGTTCTTTTAAAAAAAGAAAGCATCCAGAAGTATGGGGCAGCTATTGTGACAAAGAGTCAATGATTAATAAAGCTGTCCATCATTTTAATCTACCGTTAAGACTGACTTGTCTATAGCTATGCATGGAACAGTGGGAAAAAATTCCTCCCAGTTGATGCCAGAGATTGGTAGACAGTTATAAAAAAGGCCTACTCAAGCTTGTTTCTTCCAAATGGGGCAAAACCAGTTATTAGAGCCAAGGAAGTACTTATTTTTTCCACAAAAGGAAATGGCATATCTGTATATTTTTGCTGAATAAATGATTGAAAGTAAATTTTTATAGTTTTATGTTCAATTAATTATATATATTTATATCATCTTTAACTTTATATACTGTTTGAATGAAGATAAAATACTGATATGTCCACATATATTAAAAAGAAAAAAAACTTTACATGGGGTGTACTTACTTTTCCACATGACTGTACATCTGTGCAAGAATACATTGCTTCGTTTTTCTCTCTGTGCATGGAAAGGGGGACAGCCATGTCAATGTACAGTGATCTACCCTCAAGAAGAAGGATTTCCTTCTCTATACTAACTCTTATGCCTAAACAAAAATACATTGAAGTTAAGTGAATTAAGGAGTAGGGACAAATTCTTACTTAAAAATAAATAATTTAATACTGGGTTAATAAAATTGTAATGTTTAAACAGTACGTCTATGGATGTTCCCTCCCATCAAAGTCTTTCTGCATGTGAAACACTCATATGTCACAGAGAAGTGCCCAGCCTAGCTGTCTCCCAGGCTCACAGCTGTTCTGTGCGTAGGCAGTGTTTTCAGTAGATGTCATTAGAGACCTCTGTACTGCATTTTCATGGGCTCCAGTGCAGGGGTTTAATCTGAAGTGTTACTAACATGTCCGCCCATCTGTATCTCCCATCATTAGGCATGAACAGTTTGTGGTTTTGAGAGATTTCCAGGGACTTACCCAGATACTCATACCCCAGGAAGAGGTAAGTGCTGTCGAAAGCTGCTTTTGTAGCTTCCATCTGCTAGAAAGACAATGAGCGTTGTATCAAAACAAATATACATACAGTCCTTGACTTACGGCCATTCAGCAACCGTTCAAAGTTACAACGGTGCTGAATGAATGGTGGATACAACCAGTCCTTGGAGTTCTGGCCATCCCAGCACCCCCACAGTCACATGATCACAATCTGGGCACTTGACAGTGGCTCACACAACCGGCTGCAGTGCCATACAATCACGTGATTGCCATTTGCAACCTTCCCTGTTGGCTTCCCCAGAAAGTCAATGGAGAAGCCAGCAGGGAAAGTCGCAAGCCAGTGGGGTAAGTCTCCCCCACCCGCACACCCTCCCCAAGCCTCACTGTGCCTCCCTCACATCCCTGCAGTGCCTCACACACTCTCCCTGTCCCTCCCTCACACCCCCACACACCCTGACCCTCGCCACACCTCCCTTATCCACCCCCACACACGCTCCCTGACCCTTGCTGCACCTCCCACGCGCCCTCCCTGAGCCTTGCTGCGCCTCCCTCGCACCCTCACCATGCGCTCTTGTGCACCCGCACGCACCCTCCCCGGCCCTTGCCATGTCTCCCTTGCACCCTCACACATCCCTGCACTGTGCATCCTCCCTGACCCTCACCACACTTCCCTTGTGCTCTCCCCAAGCCTTGCCACACCTCCCGTGCATCCTCCCTGAGCCTTGCCATGCCTCCCTCACACCCTCACGCACCCTCCCCAACCCTTGCCACACCTCCCTTGCACCCTTGCACTGCCTTCCACACTCTCCCTGATCCTTGCCATGCCTCCCTTGCACCCCTGCGCACCCTCCCCGGTCCTTGCTGCACCTCCCTCACACCCTCACGCTGCCTCATGCACCCTCCCTGACCCTTGCCATGCCTCCTTCACACCCCTGCACATCTTTCCCAATCCTTGCTGCTCCTCCCTCAGACCCTCATGCTGCCTTGCACACCCTCCCTGACCCTTGCCACACCTCCCTCACACCCCTGCACACCCTCTCCAACCCTTACTGTGCCTCCCTCGCACCCTTTGCACACCCTCTCTAATCCTTGCTGCACCTCCCTCATGCATCCCCACACACTCTCCCTGACCCTTGTGTGCCTCCCTTGCACCGTCACACATTCCCTCGCGCTCTCCCCCACCTGGCAACAGCCACTTACCTCCCTGCCACCCTGCTTGCAAGCCACCTGGGACTTGCAACTGCCTGCCAGCTTCCCCATTGACTTGGTTGTGGGAAGCTGGCAGAAAATTGCCTTACCTGACAACTGTGGGATTTGGTTAATGATGGCAACAGGGACTGCTGTTGCTAAGCAATGTGCACATTGCTTAGCAATGGAAATTCTCGCCCCAGTTGCCGTTGTAAGTTGAGGACTACCTGTAATGTTTTAATAAAGTTTTAGCCACACTGATTTGGAATACTAAAGAGCAGACTTCCTGCATCACCTGTGATTTTTTCATTTTAATAGCTTGCTCAAGTTATTCTTAGCTTATAAGGTAATCAGAGTAAGTTTTATAAACTCAAACTTGAATTTGCTGATTCAAAAAAGTGTAATATTTAATTATTTTAATTTACTGAATATCTTTTACTTTATAAAGATATGTAAATTTTAGCAGATAAAGAGTTCAGTATCTCTAGCCCACTCTATGATAGATGACTTATTTCAACATACATGAGAAATTCTTTAAATTTTTCTTTAGGCAAATATAAAAATGGGGAGCAGGATGCTAAATATTCTGTTTGATCAGATATTTGGAGAAAATGGAAAATAGCTTTGTATAAAACATAAGACTGGAAATTTATTTTGCTCTTTTTTAAGGACAGCTCACACACACACACAAACAGGTGTGTGAAATTCATTTAAGTAAGCCTATTCTTAAAAGCTTACAATGAAATGAAATTAAGACAGACTCTTAGAAAAGAGCACAGACTTTTCAAAGCATACTCCCTCCCTACCAAAGATTTATGATATTGAGTGTGTACATGAACGTGAAAGTAACATCTTAAGAAAGACCTAAGAGAAAAATCTACCCTGCCAGAGAGTATGATCTCTGTCAAGTAGATCAGTGGATTGAAAGTGTTTTTGCAACTCTCATCTAAACAGTCCATTTAAATACTAAGATATAGAACATTGCAACAGAAAATGTAAAAATCCATGTACAGTACATATCCATATACACGCATGCGCGCACACACGCACAATTGCTTAGAGTTCTTCACATTATTTTTTTTAAAGTTCAGCCTTATAATCTACAAGGAAGTAAAGCAGAATGCTCCAAAGCATATCTGAAGTATCTTTCTCCACCTAAACATGTATCTAGAATGAAAAGAACATAATTTCCACATTAGCATTTCAGTTTTATTCCTACCAACTGCTACTTGATGAAATATTTTTGTAAAGAATTTTGGACTAGATAGGATTTGTTCTGATCCAGGAAAGTTCATTGGAATTAATGTTTCAAACAAAAAATAAACTAATTTACTTGATTTGTTTGTTTGTTGCACTGCAGGCTGCTTCCTATCTGAGAAAGCTCTTTTCTGATGCTCCGGTTGAGTCTGTTGTGCGAGTGACTGGGGTTGTTATTCCCCGGCCGCCTGGACAGGCAAACCCTGTAAGTATTTTGAGGAGGAGCCTTCTGTTTTTAAGTGACTACAGTTTATTGCTTCAGGCTACCAGAAATGGTTTTCTAAAAGCTATACCTGCTGAGAGTAGATTTTCACATTTTCATTTGTGAAATGTGCCACATGTAAGTGGCAAATGAAAATGTGACATTCTACTCATCTGCTGTAGTTATAATGGTAGCTGCAGAGTGATCCTTGTTCTCTTGGCAGCTATAAGGTTTGGAGGGACGTTTCTTTCTTCTGCTCAGCACTGTCTAAAAGTCCCCTTCTCTGTCAAACGATTCCACAGTTTCCGCCTTAATGTCTTCTGTGCTTGGAATTGAAAGGCAATATACCTGCACAGTATCACCTTTCATGCTTCCTTCACATCCCTCCTCAAATCCTACTCTTTTCATGCACCCTCAGTTCCCAGATGGGTTGATGTCTGTGCTTTGCAGCAGGCAGATCTTCTGTGTATATATGGGTTCATTCTTGTCTGCAGTAAGGAAACTTGTTTAAGTGTACTGAGTCCTTGAGGTTTCTGTTCTTGTTTGGTTCTTGAATGTAGGGTTGAAGTTTTGGAAGAATAAAGATTTATAGCTGTGCCTGGCTTGCAGTCTGACAGTAAACTCAGGGCAGAGACCTATTTTGTTGTACTCTGCAAAGTACCATAAGTACTGACAATACTGTAAAAATAATAATGAAAATTAGCTATTCAGAGACAAACCAGGAAGGCCGTGCTTCTTTTCCTTGCCCAAGCCTGTTCCTGGCTGGCCCACCAATCTGTGAGTTGACGGGGGTAGGCAGAGAGATGTTGACTTGAACTCCAGGAGCTCCTGGTCTGTGAACCCCAAAGCAAGCCACATCCTGGTTTCCCAAGCTCCAAGTTTGTGAAGAGGAAGTGAAAATTAGATTCTGCATTTTGCCAGGCCAAATTATCCTACCCCCACACCATCTGGTTGAAAACATAATGAATGTATACATATATTTTCTGGGCACAATAAATAGAGCTGTTATTATTATTATTTTTTTATTAAAGTGGTCTCTTTCATTCTATTTAGAGGATGCAAACTGGAGATATTGAAGTAAAAGCAGAAACTGCGGAGGTTCTGAACTACTGTAAGAAACTACCATTTGAAATAAAAGATTTCTCTAAGGTAAATATACCTTTCTTATTTCTGTTTAGTGGGCTGAGATTTTGTGAAGATGGCTATTTTCATCTTATTTCTACCTAATGGGCTGCTTGGGACAATGTACCATTGAAATTCTTGCATGCCTTTTCTTTTTTAACCCTTCTTATGTCTGCTCTAGAGAAAAGAAAAGGGGTGCACCCAAAATGGAAAATATATTTTGTTTCAAACCCAGAACAATCATTGTTAAAATCCAAGTAATATATGAACATTACCAGCAATAATCAGTGGAATATAAATCATAAAATGGAATTAAGAATTATAATAATTTCTATCCAAGTAATTGAAGTCTTTATGTTAAGAAATGCCTGAATTCTAGATGTGGAGTAAGTCCATATGTAGAATTATAATCCAAAAATGGTTTCCAAGTTGAATTAAATTCTGTGTCAAATTTATTTTGGAATTACAAAATTATTCCAGGCATACTCCTAGAATTTAATTAGCCATTCTTCTGCAGAAGGAACTATGTATACTTTTCAACAGGGAGCACAGAATATACTTGTAGCAGTTGCCATATACAAAGCTAGTTCAGTATACTTTATTGAAATGTAAGATTTAATAATATTTAATTAAAAATAGCAGTTTGGAAAGTAAATTCAGCTTTTAAAATTTGTTTCATTCAATTATAAATCATTTTCCAAAATTGTTGAGCTTTATAACGTTGCCACCAAATGTGGTGAAATAATCCAATTACATTTCCAATATGTTTTAGAGAATGAACTGCCTTTTTTTAGTAATCAATACTGGGGTAATATATGAGCAGTAAAACCAGCTTTCTCTAAGTATAATTTAGTGTGAATTTCAAGTTTTTCTTCCATTGAAACTCCCACTGTTGCATATCAGTTATTGCATCTAAATTCTGCATCCATTTAACCATGCAGTCTTTAACTTACTCAGTTGTTGAGTCATATTTTACCAACAATTTATAGATAAAGCCTAGCAAATGCTCCAAATTTTGTGTTACAAGGTTTTCAAATTCAGTCAAATCTCATAAGTATTTTTGCAGCATCTTTAAAGCTATACTTCTTATTTGAAAATATTGAAATTGGTTGGGTGGTTTGGCCATTCCCCAAAAAAAGTCTCAAAAGATTTTATCTTTGTCTTATTAATAATTCAAATCTTATAGTCTACACAATTTGTTATTTCTTTGCTGGCAAATTTCTTTGTGCTTTTCTTTTCACGAAAATAAATATCTAATAACAAGGCAGGAGATTATGGTAACTCTAAATTGATTCTTTTCCTTTATTTGTCCCAAACTTTTAATTTGGTGCTCATTATTGCATAATCTCTTAAATGTTTTTTATTTCTGTTTGTGTCAGTCCAGAGATATTTGCGCAGTCATTTATAGCCACAATAGAGGTAATCCAAGCATAGGGTGAAGTGATCCGATCTGCAATCCACAATAGTTAGGTTGATTATGTACCATCAAGTTGATATCAACCCTTAGCAAGCACATAGATGGACCTTGTCCAAGACAATCTGTGCCCAACCTGTGGGTCACGCCATTAATTCTATTCAGTCCATATATCAGAAACAGAAAAGGGGAATTGGTCCTATTATCTAGTATGAGAAAAACAGAATAGTCTAAATGGCTGTAACATTTTTTATTTTTCTAATCTGGAAAGGATAAAATTTGCCACATTTCATAGAATATGGTGCAAGGGTTTAACTTGCTATCCTTGAAATCTGACCCTTTAATAAAAATATCCATGCATTTTCCTTAGGAGCCAGAATGTGATGAACTTTGTAGTGAAATTATTCCAGTCATGAGGTTTATATTTGGTGACAGACAAGCTGAGAGTTGGAAGAAGTGGGCAAAGAATAATGGTTTACCATAAAATCATCCTAGATTGCTTCTGTTTTTAACATAGCAGTAACACAATATTTTGTTCTTCATCTTGGTTATGGCAGATATAATTTGTGATTTTTCTTTTTAAAATAACAATCTCTTCCTCCTCTACTCAGAAAACTGAAGCACTGCGAATGCAGTATCGTTATTTGGACTTAAGAAGTATCCAGATGCAGTATAATCTCCGGCTAAGATCCCAGATGGTGATGAGAATGCGAGAATATCTCTGTAATCATTACGGTTAGAGAAACACAGGAATATTAGTTAACTTTTCTTTTTCCCTTTCACTTACTGTGCTGCTGACAAAATATATCAAATCTTATTTTAGGTTTTGTGGATGTAGAAACACCAACACTATTCAAGAAAACACCAGGGGTAAGTATGTAAATACATCTTTTCTGTATATATATTGTCTTATAAAAATATAAAGTATCTGTTTGAATCAGAAAATAATTACATCATGTAGCCCAGACATCTAAAATGAAGAGTGACTAACTCAGCCCTTAAAATTACTCATAATTCTTCTTTTCCAAGGCAGCAGAATTGGTCTTGGATGTGGAGGAGGGTATGTGGGAGAGAAGTGGTATCCTGGGAGATTTCGGTATTCATATTGAATTCACCAGCTCAGAACCTTATAGCTGCCATGGATATTGCAAGGGTTTCTCTGGCCCAATACATTCTGGATAGGAGGCTTATGACCTAAAATTTGATGGGGGTTGTCACAGTCAGGCTATTGTCTGATAAAGTTTAGATTGACAGTGGCTAATTCCCTCTGCACTGAAAGTTACTTAGAGATCAATTGAATCTGGACAACTTTGGAGATTTTGGTTGGCATGGCTAATGTTCCTGTCAAAGTCCTAGTTTTGTTATGAAATTATGTGATGGAGAGAGTTGTTAACATAATTGCTGCTAAGTGTCTTTTTCTGAAACAAAACCTTGATTAATTCCCTAGTTTCTGAAAAACTGCAAGGAGTGAAACTTGCCAAATAACAACTGGAACACAGACAGTGCCATCATTTCTTTTTGTTCGTGGATAGGTTTACGTTTTTTAAAAAGATAAGGTGAAGGAGTCCTTTAAAAATCCTTCCTGACTTGAGGAGATTTATGGGGAGAAGAGCAAACTAAGGACTCACTTTGCTAATTAGAAAAGCCTACTGTATTTGCAATTGAAATATATGTTTGTTGAAAAGCAGTAGCCTAGGTCTTCTCACCATTTCTTAGTATGCTTCAAGAACTTTTATTAATTTGAGAAGCAAACCAGTTACTTATCACATGAGAGCTGACTAGAAGCATGCATGATCATGTAAATGATCGTCCACGAAGTACAATGCAGGGGATATATTTTGGGCAATGGTGCATTAATGATCTTCCATTTCCTGATAAAATGCTATGGGGACGGGATTGAAATTTTCAAGATAAATTTGGCTTCAATAAATGTTTTGTAATACTCAAACTAGAAGTTTCCTCATTTTTTTTATAGCTAAAGGCAATGTAATTCCAGCTTTAAATTACATCCTCCTTTTAATACAAGGGTGCAAAAGAATTTGTGGTGCCTTCCCGGGAGGCTGGAAAGTTCTACTCACTTCCTCAGAGCCCTCAACAGTTTAAGCAGCTCCTGATGGTAGGAGGTCTGGACAGGTGAGTTTCTTGGGGCCCCACCAGCAACAAGAATATTTTCAAGGTAGCACTAAAACTCTGATCTGCAGCTTGTGGTGAGGGAATAATAGATGGACTGAGTTACAGTTTGTCACACAAACTGATTACTTGCCAATTGATCAGGTTCCACACCAAGAATGATGTTGTTTAGCAGTAAATCTCTCTATGTCTGCTTAGAAGATACACATGCTTGAGATCTTTTCGCAAAGGTTTTCTGTTCCATGCAATCTATGACCATCATGTCCTCACCTGTGAGGTGGAGGACAAGGTGAAATTGCTGAATCATGGCATTTATAAAATATGCAAGCATTGGGAGTTGGCACCATTTTATGGTGGTTCTGCTTCTACTTGAGTGGGTGGTAGCTAATCAGTAGTCATGGGGGGGGGCAGCATTCATTCCCTTGGTTGCTCTGGTGTGGGTTTCCACAAAGGTCCTCCCTCCCATATTATTTAATATCTATATGAAACCACAAGGAGAGATCATCCAGTTTGGAGTGAGGTGTCATCAGCACACTGGTGATAACCACTTATGTATTTCTGTCTTGGACTGAGCTGGAGATGCTGTAGAAGGTCTGAACCAGGCTGTCATGGTTTGGATGGGTGTTAAAAACACTTATACATTTCCCCTAAGCTGATTATGGGTGCTGATCTTGTGTATGAATGATTAATTCATTATAGTTATATTTTCTTTTAGTTTTGTTGTGCATTATCCAGAGTGTCACCAGCTGGGGTAGTTTACAGTTACTGTGACAGAAAGAAATATGTATGAAAAAACTCAGGCTTCAGCAATGGAGCAAAGTCTCTTCTGACTGTCCATTCTCTGGCAGTGCAGAGAATGTCTTGTCAGCTCATAGCCAACCCAAAGTGTACAAAACTGTGCAGAAGGTCTTTCAGTATGTCAAGCATATAAACCATTTCTTTTTCTTTGCAGTTCTCCTCATAACTTCTTTTCTGTGCCCACAACTTTGCATCAATTCCTAAGTATGGAAATAAATGTTTCTTCTGTTTTAACTTCTGATTATAGCCAATTTTTCAGAAGTGTTTTCTTTCCAACCCCCTGTTTTTGGAGAACATGCTATTGAGATAGTTAGATACTCTGCAACCAGAATGTTATTTTCTAATTTTATTAAAATAACTTTATTTTCTAATGGCAGGTATTTCCAAGTTGCCCGCTGTTACCGAGATGAAGGTTCAAAGCCAGACAGACAGCCTGAATTCACTCAGGTAATTTGCTTTTGTTTGGAGCAAGATTAAAAAGCATAAAAAAGCACTGGGCATTATTCTTACCGGTAACCACAGGGATGACCAACCTTTTAGAAGTTGGAGGTTTAGTGGCTTTGGAAGAGGAAAATCTGAGTAGGTAAGATAACAGTACAAAGTGATTGGGACCATGTCATACTTATGAGCAGAGGTGCTATTTTTTTCCCCTAGACCTGGGGGTAGGTAGGTTTTTATTTCTTTAATTGGGTTAACTTTAGTCTTGCAAGCAGTATTATGCATGTCCTCTCAAAATATTGAAACTTGATGTGGCAGTTAGAAGATCTAGGGGCCAAAGAAAGCTTTGGGAGCTGCAGGTTGTCCATTCATTCTGTGCATGAAAACATGACCAGTCTAATTGTTGAGAGACTTGATTTGCTATAATTTGGGAATCAAGAATGTCTTCTATCCCAAAACTGCTTTGGCTGGTTTAAGGGAAAGTCAGGAACTTTTACAATATGTCAAATGCCAATTGCAGAGTTAGTTTTCTTTTGGCAAAAGAATTCATGAATGCTTCATTCTACACCTGTTCTTATTAACAGCCTTGAAGAAATAAATAGGTAGAACTGAATACTTGTCATCTTAGTGTTGTTACTTGCAGTGCTGACCAAAATACTGTTCTGTAATTCAGGTTTAATATACTGTATGCATAGCAAATAATAGTTAAGCATAGGTAGTGATATAGGTGGAAAACAGAGAAATGCCAGTTGCTCAACGTGTCAGGAGATAACTTCTGTTCTGGCATTACAGTTAACACATTCCTTCATTTGTGTACTCTAGTACTGCAACAATTTTGTAAGGGAATTGCATCATTGTTGTAGCAACCATCTTTGCAAATGAAATGCCAGATTCACTGAAATAGCATGTATTGTGTGTACGTGCTTATTTATTAGATTTATATCCTGCCTTTGTGATCTGTATACAATTAAATCTGTCCTTATCTATGGTGCATGTATGTGTGTATTAGTAAATTACTAAGACTAAAAAGTAAAGCACATCAAGATCTCCACCAAGAGCACTCAAAACCTAATTTTAAAAAATCTATGGATGTCAGTATTTTTTTTTTATAAATGTGGGTTGATGGGAGGATATGGCAAAGAGTTGCACAAGAATGCTCTGTGTATTTTAAAACTACTACTTCCACATTTGCAGAATTGCTAAGATTATTTTGTGTGGAATAGAGTTCACTTCATCTAATAACATCATCTGCAGTATACCTTATTCTGTAATAAATATACTAGCATCTAAGGTGCCATAAAGACATGGCTTTTTTTCCTGCAACAAGTTAGCATAGTTAGTTCTCTGAAAATTCAATAGAAGGGACAGAGAAGTGAGAAGTGAATGAGCAAAGGAATCAAACTGAAAAACCATGAAGATTACATACAGCTCCAAAATCTGAGGATATGCAAGTATTTCACTGAAATGGGTCCTGTAAACCTATACTTTGAAGGAAGGCCACTTCTCCAGAATTGTAGCCCTTCCAGTAAAATGGATTTTTAAAGAAATGATGATATTTACTAGCCTTATTTTTTTTAATTCCTCTTGTCTATTTTTTCCCCTAAAGATAGATATTGAGATGTCATTTGTAGACCAAGCTGGAATTCAAGCTTTAATCGAGGGCATGCTGCAGTATTCCTGGCCTGAGGAAAAGGGGCTCTTCAAAGTACCGTTCCCTTCAATCACCTATGATGAGGCACTATCCACTTATGGGACTGATAAACCTGACACTCGTTTTGGAATGAAGGCATGTTCATTTTCCAAAATTCCCCAGTTACTTGGCTCCCCCCTCCCCCATGCTGTATTGAAGGCCCGTTACTGTAATGGGTTTGATGATGTTTTGAGAAATCCCTGTTTTGCCAAGAGTGGGTGCTGCCAGTGGCATATTGAGTGAGTCAAATACTCTCTAATTTGCATATCAACTTACGCTAGTCTGTTGGATCCATATTTCTCAATCCTTTAATGGCCCAGTTCTAAATGCTGGCTCTCACAGAACACAAAAGGACCGTAGGCCTTTCATTAGCTTTATTGCCAGACAGTGACTGAAGAATGCTCAGTTGAATTCTTGGCTTTTGCAGGAATTGCACACAAAGTTGCTGAAATTTGCCCAATTACAGCAACCGCAAAAGGATTTAAACAGCTATAATGACAAAGTTCATAACCACAAAGCAGAGACACCAGTTTGCTCAAATGGTACATCTACACAAACATTGTTTGGCTGCAATTCTGATTTAGGATTGCCATGCTGCTGAGTTACCAGGATAGGGACCATGGAAACCAGCCCGTGGATTTAAACAGATGAGCTGTTAAAACTGTATGGGCTTGACATAGAAATTTGAATGGAGAATTCTTCATATAACAATTTGTATACAAAGAAGCCACCTGTATAATTCAAAGAATTTTTCAATATATCTGGTGAAAAATGAGGTTGTCAAACTATTTTTCCCTTTAAAACCATTTAAAGGATTTTTAAGTTGCCTAAGACAATATAGTAATCCCTCTGGGCAACTTATAACAAGTCACAGTTCTAATGGTATTATAACTTGAAACACAAATTACAAACAACATGTTAAAATTCTAGCCAAGTACATTTAAAACATTTTCAATCAAGTGTGTCAGAAATAACCACAGGATTCAATAACTACCAGTTCTCCATATGGAGGCTTAATAAAATCAGTCCTATATTGCTTGAGAGGGAGTATCATAAACTGGGTGACTACTGAAAAGACTCTAGGGCCCAGGAATATTTCCAAGCTTGTATTTCCAGTACAACCTTGGTTTAAATGCTTTAAATGAAGCATTTGTAGGGAAGAGAGTCTGTTTAACTTAAAATATTATGTCATTTATGTCAATTTATATCATTTGTATAATTAGGTAATTGACACAAATGGCATCATTTGCAGTAAGACCTTGATTTAATGGACCATCAATTTAACTAATGATTTGACCAAAAAATTGTCTGTTTTTAATTCCATTTGGAATGGGAAGCAACTCCATTTAGAATCACTCGTAATTTTAGTTCCCAGACAGCTGACCTTCCTATCCACTCACCTCTAGCTTTCGTGGATCACGCTTATTTACCTCTGCCCCTCTTTTAATAGGTTTCTTCAAAAGTGGCATAGTCTCACTGGGATGTATAGATGGGAAACAAAGAGAGCAGAATAGCAACCACCTATTTTTAATGCTGTCTCAAAATCTCCTACTGGCTTTTCCTAACAGTATTATGTAGATCTGTGTAGAGTTTTGGGATATGGGAGAACTAAATGTGGTTCCACATGACACATTCTGTTTCAGGAAATCACATATTGCATTCTAATTGTGGGACTAGTGGGATTAGATGATTTAGCTTTATAATACAGGATTACTTTTCTCATTTATCCCTTGATCTCAAGGTTGTAAAGGAGTTTCTAAAAACTCCTAAGGATCATTTACAGTGGGGCAAAAAAGTATTTAGTCAGCCACCAATTGTGCAAGTTCTCCCACTTAAAAAGATGAGAGAGGCCTGTAATTTTCCTTGTTTGTAGGTGACCAAATACTTATTTTCCACCATGATTTGCAAATAAATCATTTGGATGATCCAGAAGAGGATTGGGAGAATCTCATATGGTCAGATGAAACCATTTGGATGATCCAGAAGAGGATTGGGAGAATCTCATATGGTCAGATGAAACCATTTGGATGATCCAGAAGAGGATTGGGAGAATCTCATATGGTCAGATGAAACCATTTGGATGATCCAGAAGAGGATTGGGAGAATCTCATATGGTCAGATGAAACCATTTGGATGATCCAGAAGAGGATTGGGAGAATCTCATATGGTCAGATGAAACCATTTGGATGATCCAGAAGAGGATTGGGAGAATCTCATATGGTCAGATGAAACCATTTGGATGATCCAGAAGAGGATTGGGAGAATCTCATATGGTCAGATGAAACCATTTGGATGATCCAGAAGAGGATTGGGAGAATCTCATATGGTCAGATGAAACCATTTGGATGATCCAGAAGAGGATTGGGAGAATCTCATATGGTCAGATGAAACCATTTGGATGATCCAGAAGAGGATTGGGAGAATCTCATATGGTCAGATGAAACCATTTGGATGATCCAGAAGAGGATTGGGAGAATCTCATATGGTCAGATGAAACTGAAAATTACAGGCCTCTCTCATCTTTTTAAGTGGGAGAACTTGCACAATTGGTGGCTGACTAAATACTTTTTTGCCCCACTGTATTATGCCAGTTGAGCCAGAAAGCTTCACATCAAACCTCAGTTCCTACTCAGTCCAAAAACTATTTCCAGTTGTTCTCCTTTTAACCCTTCCAATTTCCTGTAATAGATGAATGAGGTGAGGCGAGGCGAGGCGAGGC